GCCACCAAATCCAACGGTCAATTTTTTTGCTGTGCAATGATTGAATTAGCTAGCCGTTATTTAGGAAAACTTTTATTTCAAATTTATACATGCCTCTACCTGGCCATTGATCCAACTTTCACTGCAAAAGTTACAGTGCTAAACGCATACAAGTTTACTGTTTGCAGTTACAAAATTTCAAGTTCAGTTGAGATCAATGTTACCACGGGAACACAAATGATGTCCTGCTTCTGCTTGTAATGCTCTACACTATGGTAGCTCCACTGTGATCTGTCCCTTTTTGCCCGTATATATATGAACTAGTGAACCTATACAGCTGAGCTGAAAGTCTTGCATTGCCTGACTAATTTCTGCCTTGTTTGCACAGAGTCGATCGATGTATTCATAGTAAGATGAAGATTCTCAAAGTGGTTGTGATTTCGGTAGAGTGGACTTGCGCGAGTGGATGTGGTCGCCTCGCCTACAAGAGGGCGTGATTTTAATCTACAGTTGACTCACTTGTCCGTGCTCATGGCTGGTGTCTATTTTAGACTGTTGTTGTTCTTCCTTTGATGCTATAGTCGTCTGGATCCGGGATTCGGTTGGTGTAACATCAATCCAAGAATGTGACGCTGTAATTTAGTCAACAGTTGTGATATAGTGTTTCTGTGTTTGTAAAATCAGGGTTCAAAATATGGCCACAGGGCTTGTGACAGGGCTCGCTGGGGCCTGATGTTGATTGTTTTGTGTTGCCTATGTGATGCAGGATGAGTATACATCAGTGTGTGTGGTGTTGATGTACCCATACATTGGGCACCAAGGTAGTAATGCAACTTGGTCTCATAAGCTGTTTGATTTGAATTAGCCTCATAAGATCCATTATAAGCAGGGCATTGTTTCTTTTTTTTTTTCTTTCCTTTTTAAGACAGTTTGAACATTTTACCTATCTCTTTCTGAGTATCGCCAATGCATGCCAAATATAAGCATTAGTCTATGCGTCTTGTCGATGGTTCACATGCCAAAAAATCGCTTACAGAAAACCCAATTTTAAGGTGTGTTTCACTAACGCACACCATCAGACACACGTTATAAATTACAGATCCCATGGCATTAGTGTTCTATATATGGCTACCTTGAGGGGAGAAATCTTTGGCTGTGCTGTTAAAACTAAGTGGCATGCCATCTAGGAAGAATCAAATATATCTGCTATGCACTTACCTGTTGCTATATATGGCGTGTGACTTTTCATGGACTGTTCGTTAAAGTTTGTTATGAATGCATTATAGTACTATTTATTATACTAGATTGTAGAATCTCTCAAGGCATGCTTTGCGGATCATGAAATATTTTAGTGACAAGCTTGGAGGTAACCATGAAGGGAAGGAGTTTTGCTGAGTTAGAAACTAGTATTTTGCTTTTTACTCAAATATATGAGGCCTAGCTTAGAGGTAAAGATTGTATCTCAACACTGTAATATTTAGTGACAAGCTTGGAGGCATGAGGTCGGTCACAGCTGACGCATGAGGTTGGGACGGAGGGAGTAGATTCATATTTCCAAGCTTGGATGGTTTCAGCTTTCAACTTTGACTCTTCGGTTTTTCTGGGT